GATTATTCTCTTTAATTTTGTGACGAAATCAATCAGGCAATAATAAGTTCATGTAATTTTTTCATCACAAACATCCACACATACATAGCTCCGATTAATGTTAATTGGATTCTGAGAGAGACAAATAACGTTGCATATGAACTTAGGTTTTTTGCGAAATCTTGTGAGTTGGCATATGAACCGCGAAATTTTGTGGCACATGAGCTCGCATTTTTTGCGAAATCTCTTTAGAATTTCTCTCCTACTTTTGTCGAGTAATTCATGTTGGACAATTTTTAAAATAATGAAATTTCTCTTTTATTAAAAAAAATCAAAGATGTGTTTACTACGTACCTATCCTTATATGTGCCCCAAAATTTTTACCTATTATCTCATTCGTGAGTAGCCGAAGTTATCCTAGTTGAAAATTGTTGACTCAATGGAATAGTTTAGTAAGCTACTTGATGCATTTGAACTTAGTGATTAAAAGGTTGTATACACAATTTGACAATTAAAAGGAGAATCCATAGATTGAACATGGGTTTATTCAATAGCCGGCCGATCCCAAAAAGGTATTTGATCAGGGTCTAATCTGACATCCAAAAGTCAAGAGGTCTTTTTAATTTACTCAACAGGGTCCAACTTAAACACTTGTTTATGTGAATCGTACCCACCGGGGTTAATATTATCATAAGCCTGACTACAGAATTTTGTGTTGGGGGGATAATGCTGAATATTTAGACAGTGGTTTGGTTTGACCTTCTCGTTTGCTTGTCTTCAACTAATACACAATTAATTGGTGGTTTCAGGCAAAACTAGTAAATAATCTATCATTATGGTGACCTACTCCTACCATGAGAAATATGTCACCGTTTTGTATCACTATCCCAGCAATAAAATAGTCAGTATTGATAACTTGGAATTAGCTCTCTCTTGTAATGATTGAAATGTGCTTTTCTGAAATATTTTGTTATTGAATAAAAATTAACTCATTCCAAAAAAAAAAAAACTCTGTGAGATGCAATGTACTCGTCTCTAAGAGTTCGAGCCCTGTGCTTTGCCTTTTTTGTGCTTGGTTTTTCGTTGAAAACACAATATTCTCTCTGTGCCTGTGGTAGTTGCATCTGCCTGCATGTTTATGTCCACTTATATTTCCTTTCTGTCTTACTATACTAGTGTACATTTTATGCATGTAAAAGCAAATGCTAGCATTCCAGAACATTTGTAATCATTTTCGAAAGAAAGTCCCTTTAATTTGATGAAGCAAAACGCTTGCCTGGAAAGCAATTAGGAATATGATAATGATGGCAGCAGTAAATATTCATGTCGTGGCACCATTATTGCTTCCACATTATTTCCTTTTCAAAGATCATTAAAAGTATCGAAATTTAGATGTTTATTGTGACTTGGGTATATTTATTTTGAACCTCTTGGCATAAAATGTTAAAAAGAATTAACATTTAGTATCTAATTATCACTTCTTGCATTACTAGCTAGTTTCATTCCACCTATATGTTAGTTATTCTGGGTAATTTATTCCTAACCCTTGATGAGATTAAACCTGACCTCAAAGAATACTACATACTCCCTCCGTCCCACTTTGATAGTCCCGTTTCTTTTTTCACACAGTTTAAGAAAAAGTAGTTAATTTTGTTGGAAAAGTAAATTTAGATTGCTATTTTCCTAAAATACCCTCACATTAAATATGGTACAACTTTATGGGAACTTGAATTGATGGTAAAAAAAGAATCAAATCTCATTAAATGGGGTAGGTTTATAGTAACAACTACTTACATTGAATAAGGGTATTTTAGAAAAATTAAAATACAACTACATTCTTCAATTAGAAAGTGGACTACAATTTGGGACAGATGAAAAAGGAATACAGGACTATCAAAGTGGGACGGAGGGAATATATAGTATATGTTGTGAACTTCAATCTTGATTCTTACAGCTTTTACTGTAAAGTTGCTTAGCCATAATGAGTATCACAGAGTCCCAGCGCAAACAAGACTGGTTGGTTAATGGTTGGACATAAGAAACCTATGACTTGGTGAGCAGAATAATTCCTTCCACCTCAGCAATTAATCCAACATCTTCATCAACCACGTTTTGAGGTTTGAGCTGGATCGGAGTAGCAAATTAATGGATGTGCTTTTTCTTTTTTTGGGTGAAAGCTGGAGTAGCAAGCACGTTTCATCATCGAGGTAGCCTTAATTAGAGTGGGACTGTTTCAGTCTTCACAGACATACGATTGATTAATATTATCCTTAGATTTCTACACCCAAAATGTAAAGGTGAAAATGGTATGGAAGGAAGACAAGTCTGGAATGGAAGGATGTTCCCTGCCTTCATTATTTCTATTGCGTGAGAGTTTCTACTTTCTACTCTTATCAATTATTACTGCCACATCCACATGCAGGTAACATCGCCACTTGACATATGTGATGGTTATAAGCAATTAGTCCATAACTTTTTTTTCCTTTTTTTTTTTCCTAATGACACATCTAACCTAGCTACTCTTATTCCTACTCTAACCTATTCCAGGGTGGCCCAACTGAGGCACATCCAGCCTTAGGGTGTAAATCGGAATCGAAATCAGTAATTCAAAACTTTGAAATCAGAATTTCCAACCGAATTCGATTTCAAATTCACCAACTCCGAATTCGAATTCGTTCCAAATTCAATTCGAAATTCGATAAATTTCAATTTCACCGAATTTAGGAATATAAAAATTTTTATTATTATATAAATGTTATATTACATATATATAAATATTGTGTATATATATATGTGAAAAATGAATTTGAAATCGAAATAGGAATTCTGAATCACCAAATTCAGGAATATAAAAATTATTATAATAATATAAATGTTATATTACATATATAATATATATATATATATGAAAAATGAATTTGAAATAGGAATTCTGAATTCCGATTTAAAAAATCCCATTATCGAATTCGAACCAAATTTGCATAATTTGAAATCAGAAAACCCGATTTTAGTTCCGAATTATTGATTTCGAAAATTCCGACGATAAATCAAAATTTTTTGATTTTGCACACTCCTATCTAGTCTAACCTACTCCTACTCCAACTTTAACCTACTCTAGGTTGATTCTAAATTTAATTCAAATTCGGTCGAATTATATCGAAAATTTTCAATTTTACACACTCCTATCTAGCCTAGTCTACTCCTACTCTAGGGGGTAGCCCAATTGAACCACATATAGTTGCACATTGATGAGAGGTAAGGATTGAATTCTTGACCTCCCACCCCACAATACTGGTTAATTAATCCATAACTTAATGTAAAAAGAAATGTGCATGCACAATAAAGCAAGTTCAATAGAAACGAAGGAAATATGATGAAACAACAAAGTTTACAATAGAGTAACTATATACAATGTTGTGAAATTCAGGGGAAATGACGAGAGTAAAACTAAAGTACTTGGAAATGGCAATACTTATTATTCAACAGGTTCTAAGCGTTGGAACGTGAGACTTGATCTCTTTGGTAGTGTTTAATTTTCTTTGCGGCTAATTACAACAGTTTCCTAATGAATGCGAGTCATTTGCACTTTTCAACTTTGGATGCAAACAAATAGTAGGCACTTTACTCTTGGAAGAACATTTTATTTACATTTCTAAGTTCTAACCAAGAAACCGTTGACCAATTTGACCGTCGAATTTGTGTACAATTCTACCCTCCATATGATGACCCAAAGAATTTTGTCTTCTTGACCAACTTGTCAATTGAAACTTGAACTGCAGCAGCTATCAATAGCAAAATCGCATAACTATTTAAATTTGGTATTTTTTTTAATCGAAATGACCAAACAGAGTAGCATCAATTTTTAATGAAAAATCTATCAAAACAATAACTTATAAAGTTGAACCATACTTTATTGCTAAATCTAATTTCATAGGATCTTATTGGGTGTTGCGTTGAAACATGCTCCAATTAGTAGTTTAAAAAAAAAAAAAAAAAAGAGTAACGAGTCATAATGCGTTTTCTCTATATATTTCACTGAGAACACTTTCTAATGCATCTTTCGTTTTGCTTATCGTGGCTCAATTCTGTTTTTTTTTTTTTCCATTTTTATACACAATAAATATTTTCAATTCTTATGCTTTTAGTCTTTCTATTTTCTTTTAATAACAAAAATAGTCCTACACCAAACTTACTTTCGAAAGAATTTTAAAGGGGACCCAACATTTTTTTCTGAAGGAGGAAGTTAAACTCTACATCTAGTTCAGAGCAGTGCAATTCTGCTACTTTGGATTTAACATGATTTGAACTTTCAATCTATCAACCTGACAAAACGAGCCCAGTTTTAAATGCTGGAACTGAAACCAAAAGTCTAAAGTGACTCAAAACGAGAAGTCTAAAGTGCCTATTTTGTGCATTTAGGAAGAGAGAGAGAGTGCAAATGACCCTGACAAAGACAAAAAGTGTAATTAACCGTGGTTTCCATCTGTTTAGGTAGACATGTCGCTCAATCCTACTGTTTAGCGGAAACTCATCCGCACGTACACCTTAGAATTGGTAAATGCTGCTGTTACTAGTGATTGCTTTCCTTCTTGTAATCTCCGAAACTAATGATACGGTGATTTTTAGTCAATATGTGATGTAGGAAAGAGATTAGTCCGTTTACTTTTCCATGACAATCGTACTTGCTTCTAGCAATTCGGTCAGGACAGAAATCGTGTTTGCTCTTTGTCGTTGTTTTGCTTATTGCTTGCCCACTAAAGTACACATGTCGCTGGCCCAGTTCCCCATTTCTGTCTAGCGTCCGCAGGACCACAAGTAAGTCCATCAGCGCTCCATTGCAAGATATTTCTCCACAGTTAGTTGATTCCTCCTGGTCTCCATGCGAACAAAATCCCTACAGTTTAGCTTTTGGCAAATTGTTAGAACTTACTCAGGTTTAAGCAAGCATTTTTTTGTGTTGTGTTGCAAGTCAAGCAAGCAGATGAAAATAACACTCTACTCTTACAAGAGAACGCCGAGGCTCAATCAGTAAACAAAACTTCATGGAGAAATAAAGGCTGGTAAATACTCAGCATCTATCTCCAGATAAATTGCAGAGTCAGCTGTAAACCAGATAGCCTGGCAGGTCACCCACACAACTAAACACTTGGGAGCTCAGGCAAGTCCCAAAATACATATTTTGCCAACTGCCAAAACAGATGATGAAAACTACATTTATCGGGTGGGGAAAAAGAAGAATAGCATTGACTAAAAAAATTTGGTCCATAACGATTTCGACCACACCCTCAGCTCTGCCCAGCAACAATCGTTACAGAAAAATGCAGACATGCCGCCACTCACTATACGAGGAATTCTCTTCAATTCGACAAATTCTAGACCTTGTGCTTCCGAGTCATCATATCCTGAATGGTTGGTTTGCAGAGCTGCATCGGTCCAACTTTGCTTTCTTTGATTTTGCCTTGTGCGTCGCAATTTCTTGGAAAGGATTGATTCCATCAAATGTGAGCTTGGAGCTTCTAACCTTCTTCCTTTTTCCCTTGTCGTATTCCTCATCCCTGCAAAAGTATAGATGATTTGAAATGGAGACTGCAATAAGAGATCATTCCATACAAGAAAAACAGCTAAAAGAACAAGTAGGCCTGAAACTTTTATTTGGTTAATAAGCCCAATTTACTTTAAATATATCACGACAGAAAGAGCAGAGAATTTCGACTCGTCTATAGCTGGTCTCACAATTTAAACAGTAGGAATATTGGGCTCCCAAGGCAAAAGGAGTGGAACGAACTGAGGAATTCACTGACAATTCATGGGTGGTAGCCAAAGCAGCCAGCAGCATCCAATCCAGATTTTAACAAATTAAGCTGCATACTTCTTTTTAATGATGTGAACCTTGGTATTGTAATTTATAAATTAGAAAAAAGTACTAAACACAAATATCTCAGTAACTTATATTCAACTCACCACTCATCCCCAATATAACCAATTCTAAGATTTTCAGCGCCTCTGGATTCTAGAATATCTTCAGAACTTTCAACACCATCCCAACGTGCAACTGTAATCAATCAAATCAAAAGACAAGTGATAATCAGTGCTCCAGCAGGGAGTCCATGGACAAAAACTAGATTGAGCTAAAATACCCTAAAAAGACAAAATTATGCAGGTACTCACCAGTTGTCTCTTCCAAACCTCTAGCAGGAATCTGTATCAAACCATTCTCCACCTTTTCACCTTTCTTGTGTGCGGAGCCACATGATTTTCCATTATCTGATAACTCTCTGCCCGATGTGGAATAATAACTCTTGCTTGGTTGTGCTTCTGTCAAGGGAACTTTCTCATGTTGACCAACTTCATCCCTACGTGGGACGACCTTCACAACCCTTAGAAGTTCACCATTGTTTGAAGGACTCTTCAAACCTAGAACCTTATCTTTCTCATCTGCACTAGATCTGAGCCTCCTAGGAGGGTAAGCTGAACAGCTTATAGTTTTGCAGTCCTCAGAAGTAGATGGCCCGAGATCTGACAGGATACGATTCCCATCCAGTTTTTTTGGGCAACAATGTTTGGCCCTGTTTTTCTTCTTTCTCCGTCCCAAGGCTGCTCCTAAAATGATGTTTCTGCTAAGATGCTTGGTTGTAACAACAAGCTTCAAAGGCTTCCTCTTTACTAAATGCAGCCTGTCATTAAGGGACTTTTCGCAAAGCAAGTGTTTTGGTGCTGGTTTTCTGCGTGCTAGATCTTTGCTATCACGAGCCTTTCGAACACCTACCTCAGCTACACCAGTATTGTCAGGGAAACATCCAACCTACAGAAGATTTGGTTAGATGTGCAGCAAGAGGGGGAGGGGAAGGCCTAGAATAAGTGGCTGTCTTTGTAACTTTGTTTATTGACTATGCTGGCCAAGTAAAAATTTGTCACTTATCTCCAGATATGTTAATTATCAAATCAGAAATGACAATATATATGGGAAAGATGCTTGAAATAGTGTGACATTCTGCAGATACAACTGGGCAAGTCAGATGGCATATGTGCAATTCCAAGAAAGCAGGTAAGAAAAAGAAATAAAAGCTAATCACCATGTTTTCTCATAATCTAAGCAAATCAAGTACCTTTCCAGCATTAGTCTCCAAAGAAACACATGTATCTTGAGGAGGTCTATGGAGGACATTGCCATTAGGTGGTCTGTCAACTGCGTTACTGAGATCTTTACCAGCGCTCACTTTAATATTTCCATTAGTTGGTATGACCGCAGAATCAGTCTCGTTCTTTCCAGCAGAGCTTTGGGAGCCATTGATGTCTTCTTGCTTAACAATAGCAGTAGTCAGTTCTATGCCACTGCTACTGCCCGAGTTACTAGAATTCCCAAGATTAACAAAGCCATCAGATCCCTTAGAAGATGGAAGTGATTGCACCAAGCAATCTCCACCATTTATATTTGATCTGGAAAGGCCATCCACAGGTGGCACCTTCAGTAAATTTGCGGCAGGACGGTCTTTCTTTAAGCATGATTCTTCAGGAGCTGTTGGGCCATTAATTTTCTGAGCAGGATCCTTTTTCATTTGATTTTCGCTTATGATGTTAGGATTCACTACTTCTTTCTGAGCAGCAATAGCAGAAAAGGAATCATTCAACTTTCCCCCAACTGCTCCGTTCGGGATATTTTCCTTCGATCCTTGATGAAAATTAGGATACGTTTTCCTTCCAAATGTATTTATAACCATACTTTCTTTATGTACTGCATCGACAACTTTCTTAGGTGTGGAATACATTCCATCTCGAACATAAAACAACATATAAGCCTTCTGCTCCAAAACCCTCCTCTCACTAACTTGAACAACCTGTAATTCACGGTGCATCAGTTTACAATGCAGAGAAGCCAAAATTTATCTATTCTGCACAAACATGTGCAATAGACGACCTAACAAGTAAAAATGGAAAATTAATCCAATGATGCATCACGTGATGGAGGGCATATAAAACTGCAATAGGCAACTGGACATGGTTATCTCCACCAACATGTGAACCTAGCAAATCAAGACAATTACATTGCACCACAATTTAAACTGAGATAGAGGAATTTGGCAAGAATTCCGCTTTCCTTAGAAAGAGTTGATTGTCCAATGTGACAAGGAGGAAGTCTTTTTTATCACAATTCTCTTAAAAAAAGTTAGCTCTTTTGAAACTCTTGATCTTGAAGCTCAACTAAGACTCTGATGCTTAAAAGAATTTTAAAACTCTGTAAAAGATCAAGCATTCCAAGTTCCATTCATTAGGTCCTTAAATTCATTCCGTAACTGTTCCGAAACTAAAAGCATTAAACAGTTATGTTACCATAATGCAGCATTAACTGTTCCATTTATTGACTGACATGGTCTGGCCGCATGAATTGCCCAGCCCATTGCAAAGATCCACCACTTTCTCTGTGGACAGACTGAAGCTACTAGAATTTGATTTATTGGGAATCAGATTTATAGGTTGTAAGTTGCATTTGCCAGCAAAACCACAAACCAAAATGCAACATTAAAGAAAGCAACCCATAATGAAGAAAACCGTGCTGCTTGGATTCCACCAAGTTCACCTCTTTAAAGACTGAGTCATAAAGACCAAAAAATAATAATCTATGAGTTGAACAGATTTGACCAGCTAGTTCATGTTATGAAGCTGGGGAGGACCAATCATGAAATAATAGCAAACCCCAAACAAATCATTCAGCAACCCTGATTCATGCAATATGTTTCCTGTTCTTTTTAGCACATTGACACCCAAAAGTTCCAAACTGCCCACCATCCAAAGGAGGTTTCAAATATTAAAATAAAAAAGGTGCATCTCCAAATATCTGCTTTGGTACAAGTTACTTCAATTTCCCACCAAAGAAAATAACACGTCCACCAGCTCTGTCAATCAATTTTCAGGTCATACACAATTAATGTGGAAATTTATAGCACTAATAAGACCTTAATCCAACAAGGAAAGAGATCCACAAATACTAGGAGAAATGATAGGTCCTAAGTTCTGTAATTGGCAGAAGAAACTGATGACAAAATTGATACATCCTGATACCTGGTTGTCGTCAAGAGAGTACCACACGCCACTTGATGTCCGAACAAAGCAGTAGTAATGACCAGAATGAGTGCTCCAACCAGCATGAACCAGAACACCATAGAGAGTATATTTCAATTCCCCATCCTGCAATGAATTAAGAAAAGAAAGCAATAGTTAACAACGGAAAACCCAAGATATACAAAAAAACAACGGAACAATACACAAAGTGAAAATGTGTTGATATAGACATGCAAAAGCATTTCAAGCTTTTTCATTTTCTAAACACTAATAGCAGAACACATGCACTAGGCTGGCTTTACTCATCTATTATTAGAAATAGCACTGAACTGTACAATTCAGCATCTCAATATTCATCTCATTCAGCATCACCCTTCAAAATAAAAATTGTGGAATGTCTATCATGCAAAAGATAATTGATAACCCATCATAAGAACAGAAATCACACCTATAACCTAGTAACATTTTTCTGGTTTCGTGGAATCAGTCGAAGAGTTTAAAACATTTAATCCCTCTGTCCCATATATATTTGGCCTTCTTGTAATTTAGTCTAAATGTATGAAAGGCTCAAAACATTTGATAAGTGCATGATCTTTGTTGGTAAACAGCGGAAAATAGTTTTGGAATAATTGTAGAAGGATATATAGCCAATAGAAACAGGAAAATAGTAGAAATCAGTAAAATAAGATCACCAAAAGTCGTTTTTGGAAACAGTTTCATATTACCATGGCATGCAAAAACAGGAAAGTAACTTCAACAATACAAAAATTAAGCAGCAGTAGAGCACATACAGTAACCACAGCAAGAAGTTAAAGATGCAATATCTGCTCAACATGCTTTTTCTTTGTTATTACTTCAAAACTATTAAGAGTGTAACACTCCTTAAAATGCTTTTGTAATTTGTTGAGTGCATTAACTTATTCACTCCATGTCACATATTTAGGCACAAGATACGCCTGAGAAAAGAACAGATAAAAACTTATATATAGACATTTTAGTGGAAGTATACAACATTCTCGGACTATATGCTTACTACTCTTAGAAAGTATCTACTACTTACATATGGACCAGTCACGAAAGGTTTTAAGTCCAATGAAGGGCCAAACTCAACTTTTCTGTCAATCTTCTGGCCAGGCATATGAGAACCAAAACGCTTCAAGTGGATTGCAAGGACATTGGGTGCCTTGTAAACAGTCAGCTGCTTAAGAGCCTTGACTTTTTGCTCGCATTGTTGGCACTGATATTGCCTCTCCCCTCCATCTAACTGCTCTTTGGCAGTAAAATAAGCTAGTGCCTTGTATAATGAGTCTGCCTTCACTATCTCAAGACTTAAATCCAAGAATGGATCAAACTTGTTTGAGCAAAACGAACACTGCATGCATTTCACCTGTAAAAATATAAGAAGACTAATAAACCTTCTGGTACTCATATGCTAAAAAACACAATCAAATCTTGATCTTTCAGCATCAAAAAATTTTTTAAAAAAATTATCATGTTTCCCAAAGTGAGACTGACTCTCTGATTCTCTCTGTAGCCAATTATCTAATACCCTAAGCAAAAAAGGAGCTAAGCAAGACATATTTACCTGACTACGAAGGCGACCACCAAATATCTTATGGACCAAACTTTTCTCGTAAGCACTGGGTGACTCGCTCGGCACTCCTGAAGGCAAGCAGCATTTGTGCATCGATTCTAATAAATTGACCATGTACTCATGAGCATCCTCTTGTCTAGCATTTCTAAAGTTCCGAGATATGCCTAAATAACTGTCAAGGATCCAAACTCAACTCAAAAATCTAGAGCCTAAGAAATTCCACTACAGTGAGGAGAATGCCAAATTAAAGGCATATAGTAATTTCAAGTTGGATAACAGACAAGTTTTAATGTAAAAGAAGGAACAAAGAGCCAAAAAAAAAGTAGAAACTAAGATCACCAACGATGCTAAAAAGTCAAGACAAACAGTATCAAACTGCTATAACAGGAAACTTATTGAACTAAATTGAGATAAGATGATATTACAAGCCGATGAAGAAAAACCTACAACATCACAAGAAGTCTAGCGAACACATTATAAGCAAAAAATTCAGGATACACCGCAAGTTTGATACAAGATCTTTCGGAGCCAATACCGTTCCTGTCGATTCCAGAGCTCGGTTCACATGTTTCTGAATGGCACATAAAGCACAAAACCCAGCAATATGACCTTCATAGCATCATGTCAAAGATGCAAAAAATCAGAATCCAATGATTGACCTTTTTGAAAGTGAACGCCAGATGTAAAACAGGGCTCAAGAAAAATATAAGCCACCAAAATGAGCCATGAGAAGGAAAAAAAATGATGAACCAGAAAGAACTAATGCAGACAAGCTCTACAAGTCAGCAAGCATGTTTGTTGTAGGACCGCCAAACATTCAGTTAACATGATTTATTATATTTGGCCATAAGATCTAAGAGATGCTACGGTTCAAAAGAATTGATAGCGCAAATGACAAGAAAAGTGCAAGTAGAGAAATTAGGATGAATTTTTACAAAAGTAGAAAGACGAAAGACTCAGTCTAGCCCTGCCAGAAGTTATACGCATCACATAGAAAATCACACAAGAAGACTCAAGAAGCTGCAGAACAACAATTATCACAAAGTGCAAGAAGACTCAAGATGGTAATTTGCACTGTCTACGTCTCATCCTTAGGCATTCCTTGAACATCAAACAATTCTAACATATTCTTGGTATTAATTCACTACATCCCTCATTGTCAGACCTTCCATTTTTACCTGGAACCATATTCAATCATTTAATTGTTCATAACTCTTGTGTCTCTTTCACTTTAGGTTTTACAAGCACATCTGAGGTGTCCGTCGAAGTTATCTCACCTTCAGATATCTTTTTCCGCAGATGATAAAACAGCACATATCAAAATACATCATTCAGAATAAAATAACAAACATAATCAGGAATTCCTCATACACACATTCTATATGCTTCATGTTGGTAATCGTATGATAAAGAAAATGTAAGAAAAAGAGAGAGTGTCTCACAGGATATTTTATGCCGACCACTTTGTAAATAAGCTGCCAAGGGCTCAGTGTATGTCAGACACTGTAATACAGAATTGAGAAAACAAGTATTTCCAAGATTTTGCAAGCCAGCACCCTGTCATTAATCATAGTTACGCTCCATTATAGCGTCAAAAGAAAACCATGATTCCAAATGCTAAACAAAATAGAAAAATAATACCAATAAATATACTCACGATATCCCGATTTCAGGTGAGTGTAATTCATGATTTGTGTATAACATCAACAATACTTTCACGCTAACAAGAACCACCTACTCAGAAGAATCAATGATGAAAATAGGTTTAACACGTACCACTGATATGATTGACGAAATTTAAAAAGTTACACTATAGTGCATGAATATTGCAGAGTGAAAAGGCCAAATGTACACACTTTATAATTCACACTTGTATGAATTTCCCTTTTCCAACCTCGGCAAAGACATGCACAAACAAGAATTCAAATTTGCTATTCGAGGTTTACTAGAGGCTTGCCATATAAGAACTTCATTGTTTCACCAATCCAGCTTATGCTAAGTTTCCACTCATTAGAAAGTCTAAATGCTTAGCATCAGTTACAATAAATTTCCGATACATAAACAGAACCCAGAACTTCAAATTTTTTCAAACAAAAAAAAAAAAAACCAACACAAAGTTATTTAAAACCCGTAAGTTATTCTACTATAACTAGCTAACTAATGCTTTCTAGAGACACAAAAGTTTCCAGAAAAAAAATCATAATAGCTCAATCAAACAGCAAAAAAACACATTACTGGATAAAAATGAAAATAGAAATGGAAAAATGTAAACTTTATTTAGAAAACAAATAAAAAATCTTACAATTCTCCTGAAAGTGATTGTAAAGCTAAGCTCCGGATCCAACCCACTATGATTCTCCAAGGAAGACTCGGAGGAGGCCTTCCCGTACCCGGACCAAGTTTTGTGGGACTCCGATTTTAAACTGGCATTCGAATTACGCGGGTTTAAGGTCACCAGCTTAAACCCATTTCCACTGTTTCCTCCATCATTGAACCCATTGAACGACTTTCTCGCCAAACGAAATTCAATTCTCCGATGAAACAACGCCGCATTCGAATTCGAAGCATCTGACGTTGTAACCGACTCCTTTTCCGGATCCTCAACTGACCTGACCGACAAAGAATTTATCATCGTCTCCGCCGCCATCATCAAATCAATAAAACCTCAAACAAAAAAGCTCTATATACATAGAAAAAAATCCAATATATATAGACTGATTTCTTTTCTCTCTCTACAGAATCAAAGAATTATATGTTATACGTTTCTGGGGGTGTGATAGTGTGTGAGAAAGAAAAATAGAGCGGTTCTGGGTTTCGACTGGAGCTCGCTCAAAACAGCTTTAAACCCTACACATGGGAGTATGTCGGGCGAGTGTAAAACTGGCTGTGGGCGGCGAGTCGCAGGGGATTACTTTTAGTCTCGATGATACTTGTTCGACGCGGTGGGATCTGGTGTGGTAAGGTGTAAATTTAGAAACCCGTTTGATTGGACGGGAGGTTGACTGAAGGGCGTAATGGTCATTTTACATTGGAAATACTGACAGCTGCAGGAGATGGATTTGCGCTTGCGGTGGTTAATTGATTGGTCGATGGCTTGATTCTATGGAATCTAATCAAGCGGGTCGAGTTGCCGCGGTGCTTTTGATTTTGGCAAGTTTGTCCTCGTGGTGGGAAATTGAGATGGCAGCTCTAGTGAGACCCTGCAGGAGATTCATGCTATTTTTTTTTTTTTTTTTGTCAAACGCATTCATGCTAAATTTGGATTACAGGAAATTTTACCAATACAGATATTTTCCCTTAAAAATTAAAGAAAACGAGTAGTCAAGTTGTACGTTTTAAAATATTTGTCATTCTTGAAAGATCAAAATTCAAAAGCAACAATTACACTGTTCTTTGCTGAGGGTTAATTTCACTTAATGGCCATTTACCCATCATGTAGAAAATTGAATGATAATTTGCATATCCCAATTAAAGGGAGGAGAATAAGTGTCCTAGAGGAAAAAAAAAAAGAGAGAAACAAATTTGCCATATCTTTAAATAGTTACTAAAAGAAGAGCATACATAGTTACTCTGAATACATTAAAATTGATTTCGATAGTTGCTTGTTGTTTATTTTCTCGTGTGAAATGTCAACTTTTAATTGGTTTTAAATTTGATACTCTTTTATGGTTTATTGAGTATACCTATGTAGTGAAAATCGGGAAACAGAGAAGCCATTATGCTCCATAAATTTATAGAAAAAAAAATTTGAGTAAAGATTCTTCATAAAACTTTTAAAGAATAAATCTTATATATACCGATATATTATTACCATTGACTCTATGACATATATACAAAAAATGAATTTCAAATTCAATTTAATTTTTACATAATTATCATTCATCAAATGCTGACAGTGTATATATCATCAATGCATGAAAAATTAATCCATTTTTAAAAAGCATTGTAATCTTTTGTTGGGCCTCATTTGTAATCTGAATATTGCGATGTTATTTGAGTTCATTCTAATACAAAGTATAAACAGTAGTGTTAACCGCAGGAAGCAAAGTGCCGACTTGTTTCCCGCAAAGGGAAATCAACCGGGAAAATAGTTGAAGCTTCTTCGTTGATGGTATCTTGAAAGGACAAAAACTGTCCTTCCAAAAGAAATCGGTCCATGGCCAACTAGAGCTGTTAAGTCAATCAAATAGCTCGAAAGTTCGTTAGAACTCGACTCGTTAAGGCTCGAGCTCGGCTCGTTAATTTTGGTTAACGAGTCGAGCTCGAGCTCGAAACATGCTTGTTTAGTTAACGAGCCGAGCTACTCGGCTCGTTTGATACTCGAGTAGCTCGTTAGAGCTCGTTAATGAAGGGCATATTTGTCATTTTAGAAATCAAAATTATAAAAATTAAAATTTATAGGTTTTTATTAAGGTTAATTTGCACGAACTCGAACTCGAGCTCGTGAAGCTCGACTCATTTGTGATAAACGAGTCGAGCTCGAGCTCGAGCTCGAGCCACATGTACATTTAACGAGCCGAGTTCGAACACATTTTAAAGTTCGTTTTCCTAACGAGCTCGAGTCGAGCTCGGCAGCCAAATACTCGGCTCGACTCGGCTCGATTAACAGCTCTATGTTAACCGCAGGAAGCAAAGTGCCGACTTGTTTCCCGCAAAGGGAAATCAACCGGGAAAATAGTTGAAGCTTCTTCGTTGATGGTATCTTGAAAGGACAAAAACTGTCCTTCCAAAAGAAATCGGTCCATGGCCAACCATATATTTGCCACAAAATACAGGCCGATAAAATGACTGCTTCCTTAGGAGCTACATGAATCAAACCACACCCTAAAAGAGCACAAAGAACAATGGAATAATAGCACAGAAACGTGAAAAGCACGTTCCAAGCCCATGGCAGGCAAAATTTAAGATTTGACAAGTAATCACACCAAACCAAAAGCTATCTTTTTCAATAAAGAAACAAATTGGTTTCACAGAAATGAGACCGTAATTGCATTAGCCAGCAGATCAAACCATGAATAAAGGATGGGATCAACCATTTACTTGAATTTCTCAATCAGGGAAAAGGGGTTAGAAGGGCCAAAAATCCAAAAATGCTGAGCTAAGATATAACTGCATAAAAGTTAACCCACACCATCCCATTTCGTTTCATCTAACCCCTTGGTGAAAACCCCCTTTTGGTTGGGGAGGGGTTGAAATTCTGATACATGAAGTGAGAAAAAATATGCCTCTACTTCATCATTTTGTAAGAAATAGCAAGTCAAGATTGGATGGTACTTGTGGTTATTGAATGCATCAGTACTCTGTACTCTGTCATATAACAAGTTACAATAATCTGCACTTACACTACAGGTAAAAATGTTACCATACCTAGCATTGAAATGCATTTGGCTGGACATTTCAACAGAAGGGACTGTGATTTATGCATAACCATGATATGCTACTGGAAGAATATCCTTCAGACATATAACCAATTAAACGTGGTTAAAGAGGTCTCTCAACAAGGGCCGAGCTTTGTGGTTCCCAAACTTGTATTGCCAGTCACAATTAATACATTTACCATCTCAGGAAACCTTCACGGAGCAGCCTTAAGTACCACCTCCAAACATTAATCTTTCAAACCCTGGTGTATTTACAAGAAAAGAATGCTGTAATGGTCTTCAAACCCTAGTATATTTACAAGAAATCATGCTGCAATGGCCTTATCACCAGTGCCAATAAGGAGGAAATTCAATTAAGTCAGTACGTTAATATCTTAACACACTATTCTGATATAGCTTAAGCCCGCTCTAGAATGAACCTGGCATGTATCCAGCTTAACATCATTAGAGGGTGAATGGTTGCAACGATATTCATTCTATCTACTGAGACACATTGATTCTTCCATCACCTGTGCCTGAGTATGATAGCTTGCTGTAGGCTTTTGGTTGTCATTTGATTTTACCCCACAAATAACATTGTCCTAGCAAGATAGGAATCTTCATTGTCCAAATTATGTAACTTCTACCATGAAGTCTTCATGGTTTGGACTTAATAATAATTCTCTGATTTCCTTGCTCAAATTGTTTGTAACCAACACTACATCATCATAATGGGGATGATAAACGTGGCCTCTGAAAAATGTCATGATTGTTCCATGCAATTCAATGAAACTCCAACCTGGAACCTTTTTCAAACCAAGAGATTTCATCTGGCCCCAAGCTTCACCTACACCATCCCAATCGGCCATTGAAGCATAGCTGTGTGCCAATTGCACATACTTTCCGGGATCTACAGGCTTCAGAAGTGAAATTTCTTTTGCAACAGTATCAGCAAGCTCCGTCTTTCTTTTTGTTCGACATGCATCAAGTATAATGCCCAAAACATCAGCCATTGGTTCAGGAAACATTTTCTTATAAAAGTCATATGCATCTTCTACCCTACCTGCTCGGCAAAGGAGATCAACAATGCACCCATTGTGCTCAAATTCAGGTTCAATCCGGAAATCATTTATCATAGACTCAAACAACCTTATTCCCTGGTCAATAAGCCCATTATGGCTGCAGGCATAGAGAATGGATAAGAAAATAGTATGGTTTGGCTTGAACCCATCTCGCAGACACCTTGAGTACATCTCCAAAGCAGTTTCTCCTTGGCCATGACTACCATAACCCGCAATAATTGTACTCCACGAAACTATGTCATGCCGTGGCATGTTATCAAAACACTTCCTAGCAATAGCCAAGTTACCGCATTTACAATACATATCAACCAAAGCTGTGTCAATCCTAATGCATGGTCCAAGACAGCTTCTAATGACAAAGGTGTGAATCCACTTCCCTTGCTGGTATGCCCCTATAGAAGCACAAGCTTGAAGAAGACAGACAACACTGACTGAATCAGGCTTTATAAGAGCTGTTCTCATTTCATTAAACAAACAGAAAGCTTCTCTTAATTTCCCATTTTGAGCATTAGCAGCAACAATTGCATTCCAGGATACAACATCTCTTTCCTGCATCATCTGAAAAACCACAAAACTTTGATCTAGGTAGCCACACTTCGCATACATAGTAACAAGTGCATTTTGGAAAGGAACATCAACAGCTATATTTTGCCTCATGATATAGCCATGAAGTGAAGTCCCTAGTTTATATGACACCAACTGAGCACAAGCTGCAATAGCACTCGCCAATGTAGCACTGGATGGCATCGCTCCAGAAATTAACATCAGCCTAAAGACTTCCAATGCTGTATCAGCACGCTCATTCTGTACAAGCCCTGATATCATTGTTGTCCACATAACCACATCCTTTTCTTTTGCTGTTTCAAAAATTCTGTGTGCATCGTTCACGTTGCCCTGTTTCAGATACATTCCCATCAATGCGGTTTCAACATGGGCACTTGATCCAAGACCAGCAGAGAGTATCTGTCCATGTACTGCTTTTCCCAATCTGATATTATCCTCTTTAGCAATTGTAGGAATCAATGATGTAAAAGTCTGTTGATCAGGTTCCATACCAGAAATTCTCATCCTATCTAAAAGCTCTAAAATCTCTCTCATATACCCAACTGAAGCATAAACTGAAATCAAAGAATTCCATGAAACAAGATCTTTGTCATTTATTAATTCAAACAAGTTTCTAGCATCTTCTACTCTTCCACATTTCCCATACACGTTCAACATGCCATTGATCAAAGCTACGTTAAACTCAAGTCCACACTTCACCACTGAAGGATGTAAACATTTCAGCTGATCACTCTCTGAAATCCCAGAAAGCATATTTAGAACAGTAACAGCGCTGGGTTTTATTCCTTCATATTGCATTTTATTATACATAAAGAACGCAGAATCAATATCACCAGCTCGTGAATAACTCCCGATGATAGCAGTCCACGGAACAAT